GAGCCTTGTGACGTGCCAGCCTCGGGCCCCGGGGGCTTCTTGCCGGCCGCCCCTGCCTCCTTGGCCCCCTTGGCCTTGGGCCTGTCCGCTTCCTTCTTGAGAGGGGGTTTCTTCAGGCTGCCTGCACTGGGGGCCAGCTTGCGGGGCTCTGGCCCAGGCGGTTTGCGGGCAGGCGTCTTGGTGGCCTTCCCCTCAGCGGCATCCTTCCGCGGCAGCTCCACTCTCCCCTCCCTCTTCCCAGCCTTCCCCTCCGCACTGTCCTCCTTCCTCAGGGGCCTCTCCTCCTTGGACACGGCTTTCTCCTTGCTCAGCTTGGGCCTCCCGTCCCGTTTGAGCTTCTCACCGGAAGGGTCCGGCTTGGCTCTGGTCTCCTTGGCCCTCTCCTCCTCCGGCCCCGCCTTGACCCCCTCCCCCAGCCCTCTGGCCTTTTCCTTGGGCGCTGGCTTCGCCTCCCTCTTCTCCGCCTTGAGGGCTTTCTCCTTGGGAGCCGGGGACACAGCATCCGCCAGGCTCAGCTTGGAGGCCGACCGGAGGCTCTCCTTGGAGGCCGACTTGAGGCTCTCCTTGCTTTCTGCCCTCTTCTGCGCCAGTTGCTTCTCCGCTCGGGGGGTGGCCAGGCCCTTCAAGTCCTTCTCCGTGACCACCGGGCGCTTCAGGAACTCCAGGTGCTTCACCTTCTCCAGCCCCTCCAGGACCCTGCCCTGTGGGGTGCAGCCCGGGAACAGAACCCGGATGATCTTCTCCAGGGGGCTGGCGGGATGCCAGACCAGCAGGGCGCAGACGGAGGTCAGGCACTGCAGGGGCAGCGCCGGCCAGTGCTGCAGCAGGAACTCCAGCTCCTTGCTGCCCCGCACCGGGTTGAGCACGTACATGTCCAGCCTGCCCACGCCCATCTTCTGGAACAGCACCATGGGCTCCACCTTGGCGCCACCGTCCCCGCAGAGCGGGCTGGGTCGGATGCCCAGCTTCTCCAGGTAGCGCAGGGTCAGGCTGGCTTCGTCGCAGCTCTTCAGCACCCGGGAGTCACCCTCGATGTCCTTCAGCTTCTCGGAGGCGTTGAGGAACACGACTCCCAGCTCGGGGGAGATGAGGTTCTTCACCCAGTCCCCGTTGCTCTGAGAGCCCTGCGAGGAAGGCTCCTCCTCCAGCTCGGCCACCTTCCCCCCTGGCAGGCTGTCGGTGCCGACGTGGGTCACCAGGACGGAGTCGATCCGGTCCAGGTGCCGCACCAGCTTCCAGAAAGAGGATTTGGGGTTGGAGCCCCCGTTCACCAGGACGTTGAAGCCGTTGACGGCAAAGAAGGCCGCGTCCCCTCTCCCGCCCGGGAAGACGTAGCAGCAGGGCTTGGAGAGCTTCAGGAAGCCCACCATGGTCGGGGGCTCCAGCAGGTCGTCACCAGGACGGAGTCGATCCGGTCCAGGTGCCGCACCAGCTTCCAGAAAGAGGATTTGGGGTTGGAGCCCCCGTTCACCAGGACGTTGAAGCCGTTGACGGCAAAGAAGGCCGCGTCCCCTCTCCCGCCCGGGAAGACGTAGCAGCAGGGCTTGGAGAGCTTCAGGAAGCCCACCATGGTCGGGGGCTCCAGCAGGTCGAAGGGGGACTGCGGCTC